AACGCGTTACTCCCCGGAAAGGACAATAGCGCGTTCGTTCTCCACCATAGACACCTGCGGTCCAGAGTTTTGCAAACATCTCAGCAACGTTTACTTCCTGTGTCAGAAGTGTCACAAAAATTAAACTGAGGCCGAAAATGGTCCTAACGGTTTCGTGGGCTCCTTAATCCTCAGAGCTGTAGGCGACCGTAATATATGAACTTGTTCTCCTGTAGATTCTAACGGCTTTTACTTCGATAACGTTGGCCCAAAATCGAGTTGCATCACTTTCGAAAAAATCCTGCGTTATCTTTGTAACAATTTTGCCATAACATTCTGTTGATTCTGCTTAGGACGGGTATAATCATTCAACAAGCGCAGATAGAATGGTAATAGTCTCTCCCTTTAGCGAGTTAAGGAAGGGATTCATTGTATCTTGGACACCACCACATCGCGACAACGACCAACTGTGGACTATCGAATCGGATAAAGCACAAAATTCTGAATTTCTGAATCGACGAATTATTCGAAACCGTTCCCTGTAACAACTTGCTTGTTGGACTGCCTGGTGAGTATGATGGCAGAGATAGCGTTTCGTAGCGAAACGCATTCAACTTTTGCAGTGTTAGTTGTGCAACATGTGGTAGGATTCATTGTGGAAGAGGATTGTAATTTTTGTGCTGCTCATGTATGGATATGTAGGCGGCGTTTTCCTCAAGGACTTTATCTACTAAGTGATAGCACAATTATGCTGATCGTTTTGCTCAAATTGAAAATGTTTTATTAGATGATCCTATTCATCAGTAAAGAAAGATCGCCACAATCTTTTTCAAATTCAGCTGTGAAAAATGTTTAAGAGCTTCATCTCATGAAAACTTCCTGCCGAATGTCGTCCATTATTCTATGCAGTACCTGTTTCCTCGAACCTCACACGCAACCGAGGAATCGACGGTTTTTGTTTTCAAGAAAAAAAATGCAGAAATGACGAGTTCATGATGATGAACTATCAGTCATTCGTCAACTTCATTCGGCACCAATTTATCGAATTACTACACCTCTCCAGCATCTTCCAAGTTATGAATGAGTGCTGAATTATGAATGATCGATTGTCGTACAACCTCCCAAGCAGTTTTTGCAGTACCAGATTCGATTCTCTGCTCAACATAGCCGTCATCAAGAGCTGACTCACACGGGATTTCTGTCAAGAAGGACCTACCGTCCATATGAAACCTTAACGACAATGGGTTCACTGTTCTTAGGAGATGTGAATGTTCATTGTCTTGTAAAATTACTACATTTCTGAGAATTTACAGCCGAATTGTCAAATATTTCGTTTCATATCTTATGTTCTTACTCAAAATTTAACCATATTTTTGAAGTGTGGGAGCACGGTGAAAAAGTAAGCGCAACACTTACACGAAAATAAACGATTCTGTGAATAAGGTGAAACACGATCTATTAGCATGTTGCAAAACGACAAGAGTTATTTTTAAAAAAAAAAGAGAAAAGCTTACATTTGTTAACAGTAAACTCAACAAGAGAGCAGCCGTATCCCTCAGCTAGCACTTTCCAATCCATCGAACCAGCGATGGCAAACTTTCCCATTCGAGCACGCCTTTCAGCGCGTTTTTCGACGAAAATGTACTGGAAACTGCATGGCAAAATTCAGGAAGAACGTAGTGGTTGGAGGAACTCAATGATATTTGACTATTAAAACCTCTGAAAAATTCCCGCTGGATTGAAACGTAGCGTAACCATAAATTGAGCCAGAGATTCTGGGTGGTGAAGATATAAGAATGGCCCTAAATTAGTAAACTCATCAAACATCAGTTACGAATTTATTGCTAACAAAAATAAAAAAGTCTCACTGAAACTTAAAAAACTTGCAATGATCTGTAGTGATGAGGATAATTTGCGGTCTTTGTGGCGACAAACTTAATGCTTTTCTTAACGTTCTCGAAATCGACACTATTGGCTGGTAGAACAATGGCACCAGATAAATATCTAAAGCAGTACTACAGAGAAAGTGGTTGAATCCGGGACCATTCTTTTCTCCGTCCTTCCAGGAAATGGTGTAAAATTAAAAAAAAATGCTTTGCACTGAAAGGTAGTGCAAGAAAGCATACAAGTTCCAGCCAATTTTTAAAGAAGATAAATGGCACGAAGACGTAAACTAAGTCGTCAAAAGTAAAAAATCGCAGCAATTTACCTTTACTGCTCATACATACAATACATTTGCTCAAACAAGCAATGCATGAAATGTGCCTAAAAATAAAGACTATCTGTACTACTTGTAATTAGGTCAATGCTAAATAAACTTAATAGAGCACCTACTAAAGATCTTCAATGACTGCTATCTAGCTTGCTCTGCTTGTTTGAGGGACGTAAACCCACATTTTTGGTATAAAATCCTCTTTTACTTATTCAATTTTCACTGTACTTGACGAAGACGCAGTTATTGTGGTAGTCACTGTGAATTCGTATGGCTCAGTCGTGACAGTTGTTTCACAATAAGCGCTTCCGCATATAAACACCGAACCACTGAATATGGACCACCCTACTGAGCTGAACCGTAGCTACAGTGATGCGGTAAACCATTTAGGAATTCCAGCACCTATTTCACTCGATTGATTTCCACACATCAACCTGCTCTTACTGGGTGCTGCTTCTGGTTGAGGAATTTCGCTCTTCATTATGAATATCGTTGAATTCTAAGCGAGTTGATTTTCTGTGGAATCTGAAGACAGTCGCACTAGAGCGTTTTCGTAGGATCAACTTGTCCCTAAGTAAGGATGACTGGCTCGGTTGGCTCACGCAACGGTCGAATGAGAGCTTAGAATGTACTGAACGACATCTCCATCACAGCATCACTCGAGATAACAAAGTCTCTGCCATAATTCTGCGAAGTTCCCAATCTCTTAACTACGGTGATCAAGAAATTACTAGAAGTTATGGAAAAATCAGCACGGACGCAAATGTCTACTCCACTGTAAGCTCTTAATTAAATGACAAAGATGTAATGTGATTTGAAAACAATGAATATAATGGACAAAAAGACGGTGGGAGCTCTTCATGACGATGATTACACCTATGATTACTCACCGTTTTAGAAGTATACCTCTCGACCTTGGGTGATGAAGTCTCCTGATAGAAAGTACTGAAATAAGCTACTCGATTACGTCATGTCTCTGCCCAACGCCCGTGTCCTTGATGTTAAGAATAAAGTGGGAGCACCACCAACACGACAGGCAAGTTTCTCCATAAAACACTGAACGACAAGTGTGATAATAGAATGTCCTTCGAAGAAGTATGTCAATTATGAACAGAATGGCTACGTATGCTCCAATCGTGCTCAGTGGAATGAGTATCTTCGAGTGATCCAATTACGTCCATCTAGGTCGGGAAATCTGAACGACCTAGCTCCAGAGTTGAGAAGAACACCCGACTTTCTACCTACTTTTTCGACTCAACGGTACTTCCTGCATTAACGTAAGCGTTAGAAACCTGTTCACTGCATAAACAGGATGAGGGATCACACAGCGTTACTGAACACGTATTCGAAACGAGGACGCTAGTAGTACGGCGTGTAACACAACTAAGGGAAGGGATCCAAACCCCGACCTGTGCCAACAATCAAAAATCAATGATGCCGACCAATAGGTCAAACTGTTGAAGATAAGGATATAACAACACACTGCAAGAAGACCACCGAGTCCTTAGCGCAACGCACTGGACTATTCTTGCTCGCGACAGGGAAAAATGGAAGATTCATTTGCGCCAGCTTCAGTCACTCGAGTCACGATCAACGTGATAGATATAGACACAACTTTGGTAGGCAACAAGAAATAACTGAATGTTTGCTTAAGTTTACTATAAATGTTCAATGATTAGCAAAACGGCACGTGACAAATTGGACCGAATTTAGCCTGAACCTCAATTTCTCGACAGGAATTTTCTACCTACTCGGAGGAACAAAATTTGAAAATTTCTGGCCATTACTTCTGTACCGTTTTCTAACGGTAACACACTGGCTCGGCTCTTTACACGTTACCTGTCTGAATGCAAGGTCCCTACTCACTGGAAGACCAGCAAGACCATGTTATTGTTCAAGAAGGGTGACCTGCACGATATCGGCAACTATCACCCAATCTGCTTACTGTCTGCCGTCTACAAACCTTTCAGTCGAGTCTAAACAGGATTGACAGTACACTGGACGAAGGATAGCCATGTGAGCAAGCAGGGTTTCGAAAAGAATTTAGTACGATAGACCACACCCACGCAATAAGGAGACTCACTGAATTATCGCGAGAGTAGAAAAGACCGCTCTGTCTCACTTTCATCGATTTACAGAAGACCTTTGATTCAATTGAGGTAGAACCAGTAGCGGAAGCACTCGATAGTCAGTGAGTCCCTACTCAGCACACAAAAGTTCTTGGTGTGCCTTACAAAAATGTCATAGTCAAGATATTACCATTCTACAAAGATACAAACATCGACATCAGAAGGGGGGTTAGGCGGAGCGATGCGATCTCGGCAAAATTATTTACCGCCGCCCTCCAAAACGTCATGCGAACATTGGAATGGGAGTGAAAATCGACGGTCGACAGTTACACCATCTGCTCTGCTGATAACACCGTCCTTATAACACCAAACATTAGCCAAACGGAACGCATGGTTGATGACTTTGATAAAGCCTGTGGAAAGATTGGTCTTCGACTAAATCTCACAAAAACGATGTTCATGAAGAACGGATTGGTTTCGCATGCCACACTCACGCTCAACGGAACGAATATCTCCGAATACTTTAATTATGTGTCTAGGTCGGGAAATTAATATGATAAACGACCTAGCCACAGAGCTGAGCAGAAGAAAACGAGCGGCTTGGGGAGCTTTCAAAAGCATCGAGGATGTAGTGAAGAGAACAAAGAACAACCGACTCCGTACCCACCTCTTCGATTCAACGGTACCTCCTTCCCTAACGCATGCGTCAGAAACCTGGTCGCTGCGTAAGCAGGATGAAAGGTCACTCAGGAGTATCCCGTTGCACACAAGTAAGGGATGGCATCCGAAGCCCCGATCTGCGTCAACGATCAAAAATCAAAGATGCCGTTCTGTACTCCAAACAGTCGAAGAAAAGGTGGGCCGGACACGTAATGCATATAAATGACAACCGATGGACAGGAGTCGTTAGTGACTGGATTCCTCGGGATGTCAAACGTACTGCAAGAAGACCAGCGACCTCAGTGTCAGAGTTCTTCACAAAGAGTCTTGAAGAAAGATATGATGCTCGATGAGTCCCTAGAGCGAGCAGAACCCATTGGGCTACTCTTGCACGCGACGGGGAAAAATGAAAGATTTACTGGCGCCCGCTTCAGTCACTCGACAACCAACGGGACTACGGGTGATACAGGTGATACTTCTGTATCAATGGAAAATATGCTGTCAGAACCCGACTAACGTCTTTGTGTAGCAAACAGGATAATTTTCCACTTATATTCCGAACAATACAGTGTAGCTGGGTACGTGGATATTTGGACGGCCCATCTTCATCTGCGAACTCCAGAATATTTTCCATTCGTTTCCTTGCAACTCAATCGTAGTCGATAGTTGTGGTTCCATTGGAGCATAGTAGGGGATTTAAATTGCACACCGGTGATCTGTAAAACAACTGCAGCTGCAAGAACAGATGACTGACGCTATCTAGGAACACGTCCACCCAACGTGCAAGTGGTTGTCCTAGCAAATGCTTGCATCTTTGTGGAATCCACTCCATAATTCGTTTCTTCATTTGTTGGCTGTTTGCCTCATTATATGATCAGCCTATTTGCGCTTTACTATCGATGTGTGTTCCCTTGGGTCTCGAAGACGAGATAGATTTCGAAGATCAGCGGTTTGCAATCCGGCTAGTAATTGTGTGCGCCGGTTATACTTCCGAAGACATCGTTCAAGGGCTATGTGAGTAGTGCATAGTATCCTCGATGTGGTTGGCGGATCAGCCCACATACCTGCTGCATAACACGGTGGTAGGAGCACTGCTGAATTGAATAGGTGAGCGCGGATTCTGGAGTCTTTCACTTGCTCGGTGGCTTCTTTTAAATGTCCGAATGCGGCCCATGCTGCTTTCCTTTCTCTGTCAAATTCCTCCTTCGCGTCGTTCTCCATGTTCATTGAACGCCCAAAGTATACGCACGAGATATCCGTGCAATCACAGAACCATCCAGTTTGACCTGATCGATTTTGCACCATGGATTTTTCATGAACTGGGTCTCCTTCTCATTTATGCGTAGTCCAATCTTTTTTTCCGCTTCGTTGATCTCATTGATTATGACCTGTGCTTCACTGGTACCTCTTGAGAAGACGACAATGTCATCGGCGAAACGAAGATTTCATAGGAATTTTCCATCAATACGTATGCCCCTCTCATCCCAATCGAATGACTTCATTGTCAACTACAGTGCGGCAATAAACAGCTTTGCCGATGTGATATCATCTATCACGCTAATATAGTGTACAGTAAAAGAAATCAGCTCTACTGTTATGTGCTGTTAGCGTTTTATGATTCTCCACTACATGATTGATAAGCAGATATACTCATGCTACATCAATAAAAAATTTCTGCTTAAGTTCGAAAACAAAAGTTTCCCATTCAGAACTTTATTTCAAGTCGTCATTACTTGTGAACGGTGTGTTATAAAGATTTTCTGTAAAAGTCATAGCTTTCAACTGCAACGTTTGCAATACCACGTCGATCATGCAATAACAATAGGTAATGGTGAAGTCTAGGTTCTTCGCTACCACGCACCAAATTTGTCCTGTGGGTTTCGCTGAGGACACTCGCACGTTACCTTCCATGCTCTAAGAAGTATGGGTGCAGCGTATTTGTTTCCGTCTCGGAGGCAGATTTGCTCAACTACAGCCGCAGCTTAACTTGGTTCTATACCGATTTGGGCGCCCCAGATCAATCCCGCTGACGGGTGATTGCTGTGGTAAAGATCGATAGAAATAGCTGAGAGACAGGCGAAACAAAGGACCCACATGGTGTGGTGGTGAACGCGTTACTCCCCGGAAAGGACAATAGCGCGTTCGTTCCCCACCATAGACACCTGCGGTCCAGAGTTTTGCAAATATCTCAGCAACGTCAACGTTGTGGTTGTATTTCGCTTAGTACCCTGCCGCGAAATTATAGTAGCCAAAAAATAAAAAGGTATAACGTTAAAATTTTAAAGCTTCAATTTTTAAAGATAAACCCAGTATAGTTGCCATTTACAACTAACATATTGCAGTTATCTCTAATGAAAACTATACTAGACCTTTCCTAAACCGCATAATTTCCAGAATGCAAACTGTACTTATTGTCACTATTGTTATCGTCTTAATAGTAATCACTGAGGCAGGACACTGGGGAGATTGGTCTTGCGTGTACGGGGATAAAATTTGCAAAGCGATGATTTGTCACGTAAGCCTATTTTAAAAATGTTTTTCAGATTGTTGCTGGTTGGAGGTTAAGGAATAGTTAAATAAATACAGATAGATCATTGTTAATATGCATTTGAGTTTATTACGCAACAGAAAAGTAAGGGCAACTTTCAACACCGTGGCACTTAACATTTTTTGCATGACATGTCTTCATGTCAATTGTCAGAACCACAACACTTCTTGCACTGGATTCGCTTCCTCGCATCCATACTCTATGAGAACTTTTCGCCTGCGGTTTTGGATGCTATTTGAGAATTGCTTCCTCTATGAAAGTCGTTGAATGCTGGTCGAGTCGATTCTCTCTGTAATCCTGGGTATAGTCGGCATAGAGCGTTCCCACTTGGAGTGCAAGGACTGAACTGTTCCCAAACAAGTCTGATACCAATTTCCCGACTCACGCAGAATTGAAGGCTTGCAAATCCGCGAGGGGCCAACCAGCGCCGTGGTCGCCACCATTACCACAGCGCTATCCGGCCTGGAATCTAATATTGTAAAAGGAAATATTAGAACAGCTGAGTAGTCTGTATAAGGCCCATTTTTTGCCATTGCATTCTATTACAGACAAATCAGCAGGCCAGACAAACACTCTAAAGGGTCAACTTGCTAAATTACCGTTGTTCTAGAAAATGAAAAACCGTTTTTTATAATTCGAAAAACATCAACATGTGGGATAATATCTGCCAAACAAGTCACCTGGCGCAAAAGAGGAAAAGAGGAAAACTGGTCTAATTCTACTGATCACGCAGATCCGAAATTGTCTCAAGTACAGTTTGAATGAGGGACACCGCAAACGACACTTCTAGATAACGCTCCAATTAATACATCCACCGATCTTCTATTTCGATCACTTAAGAGACTATATCATGTGTATAAAGGACAAAGGATAAGGCTCTCAGCGTTTATCAATTCCTGAGAGACCCGTCATGTATTAGACTTCAGTAAGCAGTAATCGTTAGAGGCGATTGAATACATATTTGGCCTTTACAGTGACTCGTGATGGCCTACCGATGTATCGAGCCACTGCTGCTATCCTCCCAGACAAGTCTGATACCACTTTGCCGACGCCAGTGTGCATTACAGGCCGCCTCCGACCACAGCGCTACACGCGCCCCTATTCATGCGTATGCGCACTCAAATGCATCGAAAAAAGCGAAATCTATACTTCTAAGATTACTTTTCGACTACTGGAGAAGCATATAATTTGAACCTATCTTTCAGAAATGTGCATTTTGGAGCCAATGTAGGAATCACAAATGCGTTTGCATAGGATGTAAGTGATATTGGCAGATTCGTCCAATTTGTTTCCAAATTATGGAAGAAACAGAACATGTCATAACGCCATCGATCGATATATACGCATGTACAGTATCTCATAAAGGATTTTCACACTCTTAACTCCACGTTTAAAGAGGTAAACACGTCCAGAATTGATCAATCCTTGAAGAATACGCCACGCATTCAATCCGAAGAAGTATCATTGAAGATGATAGAACGCATAATTGGCCTATGAAATGACTTTCGGCCGCCTGTCGATGCATTAAATCAGTACTGTTATTATTTCGAACAACTTTAGTACTAACCCACCAACCATACAGGGAGTCTAGGTGACCCCAGAGCACTGGGTCGAACCGACTATGTAAGAATTTCCGAACACCTCTTACCACTAAGCTACAGATGCTCACTCTCCTGTTTAGAATTAGATATTCAGAACACAGTAAACTCTGTTGAGATGTACAGAAGATCGCGTGTTTCTCCAGCTTACGATAATCCTAGAGCTCATTCAGAGCTAGAGATGACCACAAAGTAAGAGAGCTACTGCAAATAGCAACTGTCAAAAAATTGGTCTAATAGCAGATTAATTAGATTAATGACAAAAAATCAATGCAAACGACTCTGTCCCTGAAATACTTAGCTAAAGGAACATCAGCTAGGCGAACAGTTTAAATGTTTGAAAGTGAGCTATTTTCAAGACTACACTAAGAAATAGCTAAAATGTTTTCTCCGGATCGCAGGTGTCTGCGGTGGGAAACGAACGCGCTATTGTCCTTTCCGGTGAGTAACGCGTTCACCATCACACCATGCGGGTCCTTCGTTTCGCCTGTCTCTTATCTATAGGGCTTTTGTGGCGCAGTGGTCGGAGCCGCCGTGTAGCATACACGTGGGATCGGTCCCGGCGCCCATGACCCACCAAACCTTCCATACTTCTGGGGTCGGCAAATTGGTACAGGACTTGTCTGGGAGGATAACAGCACTGACTCGATACATCGGTAGGCCTCCGCGAGTCATTGCAATGGTTAGATAAGGATTCGATCACCTACAAACGCTGCTTAATGAAGTCTAATGCATGGCGCATCCCTTAGGTATTGATCAACGCTGGAAGCTTTAAGCTGAAAAACAGGCAAAACGGAGGACCCGCATGGTGTGGTGGTGAACGCGTTACTCCCCGGAAAGGACAATAGCGCGTTCGATCCCCACCATAGACACCTGCGGTCCAGAGTTTTGCAAATATCTCAGCAACGTTGTGGTTGTATTTCGCTTAGTAACCTGCCATGAAAATTATAGAAGGCAGAAAACAAAACGTTAAGCATACATTTACTTCCATAGAAAAACACAATACAATACAACACTAGCTGACATTTCGGCAGTATCGCCTGCTTCAGAGCCTGGAAGGGTATACTGATATACAATCTACTGGGTCAAACGCTTCAATAACGCTTAAAAAAAGCCAAAATAAATAAAAAAGGCCAAGAACCCTACTATGAATAGCACGGAGGAATGCCCAGAGGTCATGCGCGACCTGACCCCGTATGTTCGCATCAATTTCTGATGTGGGATGGTGCAGGCATCAACCATATGCGACTATAATCAGATGTTCTAAACTTCCTCATTGGAAGTCACGTAAAAAGCGGTGAGTTTTTCAAGAAGCTGTTGATCATGTGATTACCATAGTGTTTTTCGCCTTTTTGTAAGTGTTATTGAAGCGTTTGGCCTAGTAGCTTGTATATCAGCATGCCCTTCCAGGCTCTGAAGAAGGTGATATTGCCGAAACGTCACCTACTGTTGTATTGTATTGTGTTTTTATGGAAGTAAATGTATGCTGTTTAAAAACCTCGTGATTGCTGAACAAGAAAAGGACACATTCATATTCCAATGCCGAGGTTAATAGAAAGTCGATCCTGGAAATTTCATTGTAACAAGAGGAAGATACGAGGATGTGGACAGAGTAAATAAAAAAATTTCCCAGCGTAGATCAATCCCGTAGATCAAGCGTAGATCAAGCGATCAATGCGCAATGAATTCGACTTCATGAAGCACCGTTTGTAGATGGCTGAATGCATATCTGGTCTTTACAATGACTCGCGGTGACCTACCGATGTATCAAGTCAGTGCCGCTATCCTCCCAGACAAGTCCTGTACCAATCTGCCGACCAAGGAGGTATGGAAGATTTGGGTACGGAGATCGATTCCACGTGTGTGTTGCAGGGTGCCTCCGACCACTGCGCCACACAAGTGGGCACAGCATGTTATAAAATCGGATGATTAGAGAACCCAATATCAGTCACTGGTAAATTCCACAACTAGGAAAATTTCCTCCACTTCTGTGACCACTGTCTCAACAAAGTGATACCTACCACTCTTATTAACAAAGTGGAACTACTTGAACGAAAAAATATTACGAACGACAATCAATTAGCTCTGTGTAACTTTAAATCGAAGGTATAGAAATACCTCTTCAAACCAGTGCAAAATGAGAGATTTGGCTCATTGAACAATCGAGCGAGACCAAATATACAATCGGAGATCGTAACACTCTCATCAACCAGTTTTCTCTGCAAAATAAACATTTAATAAAAGAGTTAGAAATAATAAGAAACAAAGACAAAAGAGCCTATAACAACAAAGCAGCAGTTTGCTGGCACCTTTTATTCTACTGCCTATTCTTTTTAATGGCAAAGGGCTACGTGTGATGGAACTATTGTGATGCTGAGATGTTTGAAAAACTCCTGACTGCTGGCGTCTTCGGTGGAGAACGAACGTGCCATTATCCTTTCTGAGGGTTAACGCATTCACCACTACACCATGTGAGTTCTTCGCTTCACTTTTATCTCAGCCGTGTTATTGACCTATAGCTGCTACTCCATACACCAACGGTTCAGGGTTTTACAAGAAAGCAACATTTATTGAATACTCTTCTCTTACCACTGGAAGCGTGTCTGTAACCTTCCTGTTATAGACACTACTTTCAAACACTCCACCATCCTCATGTGGCGTACCCACGCAAGAGACTCCGTAGGGCTTCGGAATTATGAGAAATCTTCCTAAAACGAAACATATAATTCGGAAGCTGCTCAGTGCTCACGGCTAGAACGTGACAAATTCGGGAAGAGGTATCTGACTAAAACCAGGCCTCCGCATTAATTCAGCTACGTTAACACAAGTATGATACATACCTGGCTCATGTAGTATGACGTTGTTTCTAATGTATGTGGTAAGCTGATCAATATAAGAGAAGGTCTTTGGGTGAGTGGCCGAGCGGAGCAACTGCCTTGCGCGGTGACACGAACTGGATGATGGCCTAAACAATGAGCTGTAGAAAAATAGGATAAACGCCGGGACATACTTGACAAAAATCACAAATCTGACATTAATACACAGTCGTTAATACGCAGTGACTTCGTTACCCACAGACCAACGTACCCCAGATTCTCACACCATTCACTTAAATGAACATCCGACTAAACTCAAAGTGAACATCATCAAGCTAAATGAAAACAATTACGATCTAAAGGCCATGAAAAACAAAGTGCAGATTTATCGCCCCTAGAATTCTAAGACTTTGTGTTTGTCTGAAGCCTACAAAAAAATTTCTTCGCTTTTTTTTGTCAAAATATTATCACGAACGACTGCAGTAGGCAGATCTAATCAAACAAAATAGGATAGGGTTCTCAATGAATAACTGACGCTAGCAGTTCTCGCGGCTGCACCAAATGCTTAGTGGTCTCAAATTCGCCTTCTATTCTTCGAAAACTAGGATCTTAAGCAAATCCAAAAAACTAAGCCACAGAAGAACCACGTAAAACCTTGAGACGATAGAGCAATGCCACTCCCTCCTATAAGTTTGGAAAAAAATGCACCTCAATTATTGCAATTTTCGAAGAGAAGTCAATAGTTATGGCGAAACCAGCATCAAAGTTAGTTTAATTAAGAAAACTACTGTACTACTGTAATTCACCCTATGAATATAACGTTATGAATACCTACTCAATGGACATATAGTACAAGAATTTCGTGATTTCACACCAGCTATTTTATAAATCCTCCCAAAGGTTTACCGCATTAACGTGGTTAGGAGGCATTCTGGTTGTCTGGCTTCGATGTACAGCGGAGGTTCCATCCATCCGGCAAGGTCTCCCAAGCTACGAAGAAGACCGGAGTTTCCATCAGGAAGCCCACCTAAGAGTAAACCAGTACGATCCACCAGCGCCCTGGTATCAAACTAGTCGCATGGTGGCGAAATTTCCTCTGATCCAAAAGGGCGGCGACCGCCTGTGATATTGATAACCTGCAGCAGACTTGTGCTAGACTGACCTCGGGACTCCGGAAAATAATAGTGGCTAAACCAGCAAACTCCAAAAGAATAGTAGTTATACAGAGGCTCGCTCATACAACCAGTGAGGACGGGCTACCCAAGTATCCAAGTAACTAAGTAAGTATTTTATAAATAGTAAATTACCAACCCTTCTGTCCCACTGTGGCTGTTCCGCAGTAAGTTCAGTAATCCACCTCTAATCATTCTAGAATTGAAATCTGAAAGCCGAAAATAATAAATCTAAACCGTAGAGACAAATAGCAACGAAGGTAATTTTGAGACTAATACGGCAGTTGACTGACAAAATCATTATGTAAACAAGATAATGACTTAATAATTTATTCATCACTTTGTACAGAAAAATGTGACTGTGGCAAGTGTAACAATACGTAGCAAACAGGATACAGCAAGCTGTATCCAGGTCTATTAAACTTTCAAGACAATTTTTCCCTACGTCTTCTTTTTCGCTCCTGCTGATGACGACGACGCCGACGAATTTTTTGCAGCATTAATACTGTCCATATATTTTCGCTGATCTTCCGCTGAAAATCGCAACAATTTCAAAACTTATAACAGCATCAACGATGCTGAGACGTTTGTAAAACTCTAGACCGCAGGTGTCTGCGTTGGAGAACGAACGCGCTACTACCCTTTTCGGCGGTTAACGCGCTCACAACCACACCACGCCAATCGTTCGCTTCGTCTGCCTCTCAGCTAATTTTTGTATGATAATATTAATAAAACGACTTTTACAGCTTATACCAGGCTACATATAACTACAGCGGGACTATTTCTACACAAGGGCCAAGAACAGCCCTGATTCTTATAAAATACGTGCCCGACAAGATACACTGTAACGAATTTTACCAAACTATTGCCGATACATCTGATGTATTATTATTGAACTCACCAATTTTCTCATAACGACAGCACCGTGGATAATCTACCGTGAGCAATCTCGGGTGGAGAAGCGTGGCTTAAGACAAAAACAATGGAATCCTCTTACAGCAGTAAAGGAGTAAAGGTATAAGCTGTCAGAAAGATGAAAGAGGAAAGCAATATGCTACTGCAACTCACCAACTTCATTAATCCCAAAATTTAGTATTAATTGCTCATAACTGGATGGATTTTGGAAATCCTTCCGTTCTTGCACTGATATGTTAACATCTATACCAGCAGCTTTGCGTTCGAAGTGTTTGTAGAAGATTTGCTAGACTGACCATGTGAAACAGGTAAAATAAAACCCACAAATGCATTACTTTCTATTTACTGTCTATTCCTTTTTAACGACAGAGTAGTATGTGAAATATAACCATAACGATGCTGAAATATTTGCAAAACTACTACCTTTTTCAGGGGCTAAGGGCTAAAGGGCAATAGTGTGTTCGGTCCCCAGCGCAGACACCAGAAGTTCGGAGTTTTGCAAATATCTCAACATCATTATGGTTAAATCCACAAATGTCGCAAAAGTAATTGCTATCGTAGTGCAAAAATAGGAAATATTTAAAAAATAGAGAACCGTCTTTCCACGCACCACCAATTCTGGATCACATTCTGTGGTTGGAGGAAGTGGTATAGTTACATCTTGATGAGGTGGAGTCTCAATTCTCTGAAATGCAAATTCAGGCACTTTCGAAGTTCAAATTCATTGCTCATGAAGTGAGAAACTATTTAAAATATCTGAATTGGCGAAACTGTAAAACATGACCAGAAACCTTAGTATCTGTTTCTTGATCCATTCCATGAAATGGACTAGTATCGTAAGGACGAGGAGTCCATCCACCGGAACCTGTTGACGATCCATCTTCGATCTAAATTGATCACAATGCCCCTTACAAAATATGAGAGACCTTAAGAGATAAAAAAATATAACACATTATGGAGTTACTGAAATTTGCAATGAAATCTCCAGAAAAACTGAAACCCTAAATCATTCAAAAAGGAACATCTAGAACATCTGTTAATCTTTTGAAGAAAAACAACTACTCGCTTTAACTAAAATACCTGTTTCATGGCGTTGCGCCCATCCTCGAGCGCCATATCTATGAGTCGCTCATTTTCATCATCGGTGTCGCTTTGCTTCAAAGAAAATGAACTCATAATACAAGAGAATGAGTTTCATTTAACCTTTCCGTCAATCAAGTTTTAATCATTACTTCATAAGCTCTTCTCTTTGAGCTGCTAACGTTTCAGCGGCTTTGTCTACATGATAGCCTAGACGTAATCCCACTAATATACATGTATATATGTATTTGTACGATATACATGTGTATGTTGGGGGAGAATGGCCCAGTGTTCACCATGGACACGCTTTAAAACGACAAGGAAATTTAAAAACACCTTGAACCAAGTGGTCCTAAACTCCAAATCAATAGCACCCAAAAAACGAATTAGAATAGTCAGTTTTTGGAATACATAAACATAAACATAACAGGAATGTAAAAGTTAAGAGGTATTCCGACCATAACAACTAGGCAACGCAATAAAATGTGTACCTGACTTATTCTTTCTGGAGGACGAGGCTCAATTATTCCAGATGGTGGTGAGGTGAGACTTGAAGCTTTCTCTGCCGCACGATCGGCTAAAAATGTAAATCAAAAACGAATTTGGCATTCTCAACTTAATCATACCTCTTTCGAAAGCATCTTCTTTATCTTCAGCACCATAAGAAACTAAAGACACTCCCGAGGAAACCTAAAACAATGAGTGAGATGTGAAGATTACCTTCTTTAATAAATCTTTAGTTGAACTAACTACAACAATGGCACATATGCACAACAGGGCGTGCTAACATGATGACACATATAAAAATGCACTACTTTACATAACCCGAACTGAAGGGTTCGTCTAGCGCAGTGGTCGGAGGTGCCCTGCAATACGAATGGCACCGATTTTGGCACACCATGTTCACCAAACCCTTCATAACTCCGGTGTTGCAAAATTGGTACCGGATTTTCTTCGTATTTTTGAAGTCGGTCGTGGCAGTTATTGGTACCGGATGTCTGAGAGGACAACAGCACTGGCTCTATACATCGGTAGGCCACCGCAAGCCATTGTAAGGACCATATATACAGTCAATCGCCTCCAAACGACGCTTAATGAAGTAGAATGAATGGTGCACCTCTAAGAGATTGATCAATGCCGAGAGCTTTATTCTATATCTTTTAACGAAGATTTGGAAACTTCTCAGCATCATTATCACGGAGCTTCCAAAAAAGAGGGAGATGTCTAATCACGAAAATGGTAGCCAAACAGGAAAAATACAGTGCTCAGGAAATCAATATCGTACTTGTAATTCCATTCTTCTAGTACCTGCTGTTGCAAAAAATAAGAATATGAAGTTTGTGCTGCATTATTACATATCATTGCAAAGTTCACTTTAGTATTTTCGCTGCCTACAATTGATCTATAATATAATCTGCATTTTTGACAAGTTTCGAAGGTTAGAAATTCAGATGTCAAAACAGAAATTGCGAGAAACCTGCTTCTACGACTTCAAACTCGGACGTAGTACAACCAAACAGCTCGAAACATTAATGAGATAAAACGGTAAAGGATAAACCTTTCGGCGTTGATCAATCCCTAAAGGATGCGCCATGCGTTCGACTTCACTAATCATCGTTTGGAAGTAACTGAATGCAAATCGGACCTTTACAATAACTCGCGGTGGCCTACAGATTTATCGAGCCAGTGCCGCTATGTTCCGTACAAGTCTGGTACCAATTTGCCGATTATGGAGGGATGGAAGTCATGGTGGGCCATGGGCGCGGGGATCCATTCCACGTGTGTTCCGCAATGGCGCCTTCAGCCACTGCGCTACACGCATCCTTTTAATGATATGGATCAATATTAATAAAGCAAGTACACACACAATTAGAGAAAGAGCTATAAGCAACCCAATTGTAACCACAATGTAGAGAACTAGCAGAGAGAAAGGCAAAGCAAGGACCTCAGTGGTGCAGTGGGTAACACGTGAGTCTTCGGGAAGGGTAATCGTGGTTCGAATCTTGCCTGGAGTCAAGTTCTGCAAATATCTCAACATCATTGTGGTTGCACCCCACATAACACCCTTTCGTAAAAGATTGTAGTAGGCAGTAAATAAAAAGTTAATATCCCAACTGTTTTTGAACATTCAAAGAACATTAAAAGGTCGAAGAAGCTCTACAAATGAATCCCGCACGAATTGGATGACGGTCGAAGAAGTCGCCGATTTGAGATGCCATCGGCGCTTGTTCAGCACAACGGGAACAATCCATTTCTTGAGCGTATTTTGATCACCGAAGAGAAATGGAACGTCAATCAAACGCTGAGGATTAGGGCATTGGTTGGACTGAGAATAAGCTCCGCAGCTCTTGCTAAATTTGAGATTTCAGCGAAAGGAGACCATGTCGAACGTGGCGGTCTAAAGCAACTTCCTGCACGAGGAATGCTTAAGAAAGCCAGACGAGACCGAAACTGCTTTCAACAGCTTTATCGTCTTCAGAAGACCAGAATTTTAAGCAATTAGTACAAGTAAACATGCCCCTGCTTGGCGACAATGTGTAGATTCCAAAGGTTTTATCACGAATAGCAAAGTTTATTCTGAGCAGAGATATGCCACTTCCAAAATAAAAGGATAGAAAAGATAAAGTTCTCGGCGTTGAACAATCCTTGAGGGATGCGCCAGGCATTCGACTTCACTAAATATCGTTGGAGGTGACTGAATGCATATCTAGTCTTCACAAGTAATGACTCGCGGTGGCCAACCGATGTATTAAGCCAGTGCTGTTATCTTCCCAGAAAAGTCTAGTACCAATTTGCCGACGCCAGCGTTATGGAGAGCTTTGTGGGTCTGGAGCGCGGTGATCGATCATATTGCAAAGCTCCTCCGACAACTGCGTTACATACATCGCCACGTTCAAAATATGTAAATACGTATAAAATGAAATTCGACATTAATTTCCTGAAGACCTGATTGTTAAAGCGCACAAAAATCGTATGAATGGTCATCCAAATATTCAAGTATTGCATTTCTTGTATTATTATTTATTGTATTAGTATTGCAGTGTGAACCATTTCTTCACTCATTAATTCAAAAGGAAAATGACTTTTGAAAAGTACCTGTGGAATTTTGGATGTAGGAGTAGGAAGAGAAGGCGACGGAGAGTGGTATTCTTTTCTCTTTGGTGGTGGTGGTTCCCGAAATTCTGTATTTTCACTATGCTCACTATTATCACTGAAAGACGAGTAACGACGTGGCTCATCGAACATGGTGTCCGTGTCTGAAAATAAAGATGTCTGCTTTGGAACATTTCAAAATAAGGACATAAGCAAAATTGTGGTGTTTAACATGATTTTGGCTATGAAATACATGTAATTTGCTGATTACAGGATTTTACTTGGATACCTGGATGGGCCAACATCACTGGTTGTGCCTGCCACAGCATATTTTCCACTTTTTCGGAGTTTCGATGGTTTAGGCATTGTGGTTCCCTGGACTCCCGAGGTCAGCCAAGCCAAAGTCTGCCCCAGGTCCTCACCACCACAGGCAGCCGCCGCCCTTGTGGATAACAGCGAGATTTGCCACAGTGCGACTAGTTTGATACCAGGACGGTAGTGGATCCTGGCATTGATTTACTCTTAGCTGAGGTTCTCCATGAAAACGTCGAACACATTCTCAGCCTGGGAGACCCTCCTAGAGGATGAATCTCCCTGCTGTACATCGCAACTCAACACCCAGGAATACCACCCTCTCACGACGTGGCGGTAACCCATTGAGGATTACACAATCAAGGAGATAAAACTTTTCCTAAACAGGGAAAATGAGAAAACAAACTTAATTTCCAAAAAGGGGCACGTACGCTTTCGAAACAGTAAACCTGTAGTACAAAATCTCTTCAGTGCCCCAGAATATAACTAACCATCAAACATCGCATCGGAATCCCTTCGTGGTCTTGGAGAATAATCAGAATCTCGGCGCGTTTTTGGCGAATGTACGCTCGTGTTTTCTTGTGAGTGTGTCGAACTCGGCACTTCACCTAAGCCATTACCTCAAGAAAGTAAGTACACGTTTTTAGACACTTGTTAGGAAAATTCATAAACATTTGGACAAAATAAAACGAAGACGACTAACGACCAACTTTGTCCCATATTGAAAGAACGTCGTCGTGGCGATTCGTCATCGCTTTCATCTCCATAATCTGCCAAAGTGTTCATCCTGAAACTCACCCAACAACTACGAGTCATTTACAAAGTAAAAACACTTATTACGTAACATAAAACCACATGAATTAAAGAAAGCGCCAAGAACTTGGACTTAGGGATAACTGGGAGTCGAGGAACTAGAAAGTTCCGTAAGAGGAAGAAGAGATCTGAAAGCCTTCTGCCAGGAAAGATGCCCTGACCACAACGATGCCAGAAAAACAGTGGAATAGCTGCAAGCGTGCAAAATGCACCAATTTCGCCGCTACCGTAAGAAAACACAGCCGTGTTTAGCAGTGGTTGTTCGATTACCAGTAAACTGGGATTTCAATGTTCTATTAAGTTTTTTATGTTTTCCTGCGGTGATTTTTTAATGTTATAAGCATAAAAGTTACAGAAACTGGGATTGTATCCTATTAGAGCGTCAGTAGGACTCGTAGAAAATGTAGAGATAAATATTTCCTTCTGTTCTACAACCAATTAGCATTATCGTTTAGCTTTCTCATCTTCAATTTGACCCTTAGGTAGCATTCTTGTATCTGCTGGAAGCTCCATAAAGAGTATCTTACTGATAAAACATGGAAGCAGCTATGCAACGAAAATACTGGTCACCGTATTCAATGTTTTCTTCCTTCTGTACCACCGGTTCCAGTGCGAAATGTTTTCCATAGTTCCCAGATCAATCCCGTTGACGGGTGATTGGTGATAGCACCTGTAGGTCAGTAGCACAACTGAGAGGAAGGCAAAACGAATTCGCATGGTGTGGTGGTGGACGCATTAGCCCCCGGAAAGGATAGTAGCATGTTCAGTTCCTACCGCGAGCACCAGCGGTGTCGAGTTTTGCAAATATCTCAGCATCATTATAGTTATATTTCCCATAGTTACTGAATTCTATATCTCATCTGTGTTTCTCAAATCCTTCACCTATGAGGCATTCACTCAAAACGTTTGAGCTCTCTCGATGACGGATTGTCCCATTTGACCGAGCTCCAATTCTTTTACGGTGGCAAGGTTTCCTGTTGGGTTTTTCACAAACAAGAATGCTCCCTCGAACGAGACAGATAAGTCTTGGTACAGAATAATGGAGCTGCTGTTAATGTAGAGCCGACTTCATCTCCACTTCGGTGAAGTAGGATGGATGAAGATTAACAATAGATTAGCCGCATAGAGAGATCTCGTTCCTTTCAAAGGAAAACTTTTCTTTCCCTTTTGGAGTAGATGCTCCTTCTTAGAACAACCATTCTAATGAAATTCATTTTCGCTTTCCTACTACGAGTTGGCGCGTGTAGTGCAGTGGTCGGAGACACCCGGCAACGCACATGGGACCGATCTCCGCGCCCCAGGCTCACTAAACCCTTCATCGGTCCGCGATCCGCAATTTTGTACGGGACTTGTCTGTGAGGATAGCGGCACTGGCTCGATACATCGGTAGGCCACCGTGAGTCTTTGTTTAAGCCAGATAAGCACTCAATCGCCTCTAACGACACTGAATGAAGTCGAATGTATGGCCCATCCCCCAGGGGTAGATCAACGGCTTGAGCTTTATTCATTTTTTTTTCACACAAGTTTGTCTGTTCAGTGTCAGTTAGTGCCTAGTCTTTTATTTACACTTTTACCAGACGGTCTACAGTAAGCGGTCGGTCTGAGAATGGTAGCTGCAAGCAAACCAGTACCTTGAGATCTTTAGTGCTGGAAGTCCTTGCAGTAACGTTGTAACACACAACAGCTAGTGTTCTGGTTTATTGATAAGTCTACAAGAGCTTGTTACAGGTTTTAATTATGGCTAATCTTTTGGCGATTTCGCCTTCTACAGAGCCAAGGTGATTCGATTCGTGAGTCCACATCATGAAAATGTTGACGTTGTCGCAAAAGTAACATTGTTGGTTTCCTCCACTCCTCTATATTATCGAGTATATAGTTAATTTCCACGATAACAATGACAATCGCAATAGCATACGTGGTTTGCGCGTTCTCAGATCAGTCGTTTGTTCTTGCAATATGGGCTTTCATGGTCTTCACATCTAGTTAAATCTATTGTGGAGTACCGCAGGAATGATGTAGTGTTACCCAGCTCTGTCCTCTCACACAAGACTCTAGCCGTCGTGAAGCAGCCTGACCTAATCCGACAGTTCAACTGTATTCAGTAGAGTTCTTAAAGAATGAAAGGCTAGAGTTCTCGGCGTTGATCAATCCCTGACGGATGCGGCATGCATTCGTCTTCACTAAGCATCACCGGAGGTCAATGAATGCATAGCTGCCCTTCACAGTGACTCGCGGTGGCGGTGCTGTTATCCTCCTAGACAAGTCTGGTACCAATTTGCCAACCCCAGAGTGATGGTGGGCTTGGTGAGCCCGGCGCTCGTGATCGATCTAATGTGTATGGCAGGGCGCCTCTAAACACTGTGCTATATGCGACCTCAGGAAGCTCCTTACCAACTGAAATTATTTGTTTCCTCGTCATTTTCATCTTTTAGCAGTCGGATTACTATTAGCTGATCATACAAGAAGTCAAGCTTTGAATTCTGACATTCACTGAACCTCGGTATGAATAATCATTGTTGTGGTTAACCGTAATAATGCTGAGATATTTGCAAAACTCCGTATCGCTGTTATCTACGGTGGGGACCGATCACGGTGTCACCACTTCAGAGGCTAACGGGTTCACCACCACACCGTGCGCATCCTTTGTTTCGGCTTTCAAGTAGATCGATCCCGCGCCCCAGTCCCACTAAGCCCTCCATCTCTCCGTGGTCGGCAGATTGGTACCAGACCTGTTTTGGATGGTGGCATTGGCTCGATACATCGGTAGGCCACCGCGAGTCATTGTAAAAAACGAATGCATGGCGCATCCCTCAGGGATTGATCGACGTCTAGAACTGTATCCTTTATCTTTTATCCTTTATTGACAAGCGTAAATGAGGTTGTTATCTTAATAGTTACTTAACAGTTAATGGTCAGTATTGAGTAGTTGTACTCAGACTCCCCTCATCTTTTTCCACAAGCCGATAATTTTCGTTTATAACATCAAGATATGTTGCTTCTCAACAACGATAACAACAATCAGTGTAACCCATTATGTGAGTGCGAAGGAAGACGGTGGTGTTTCATTTTAATGGAACAAAGTTTCGTCAATGGTGAGATGTTTTTGCTCGTCAGATGTGATAGTCGAGAAACCGGTGATATCTTTGTATTCACAGAGGATGAGTTGAAGTTATATGGTGTTAATCTTTAACGGAAGTTAACACTAGCTTCTTAGTGCAGCATTTCCTCTGTTTATAACTTAATGTAGTGTTTTAAAGGGTAACCTTAGGCAGCTTCTTAAACCACTTATTCAGATTGTTTATTTTTATAACATTTATGGCGTATAAAGAAAATACAGTGAAATTACTATTTGTTCTGTTCTGTCACAGTTACTGCCCATAGAAAGTGAGCGTTGGCAACAAGTTGCGAAATATCACTGTATATATGAGTACGATAAGGGTGCGTGTAGCGCAGTGGTTGAAGGCGTCCTGTAGTACACATGGGGTCCATCTCCGCCCCCAAGGCTCACTAAGCATTCTATCAATCCGGGGTCGGCAAATTGCTACCAGACCTGTGTGGGAGGATAGCAGCACTGGCTTGATACTTTAGTAGGCTACCCCAAATCATTGTAAAGGTCTGAAAGGCATTCAGTCACCTGCTACGATAGGTAATGAAGTCGATTGCATAGCGCATTCCTCAGGGATTGTTCAACGCCGACAGCTTTATCCTTTTAGCTTTATGAGTACATTTAATTCGCATAAGTGCGAGGCAAACACCTGCTAGGATGTTAGAAATCGGTAGCGTTTTGTATTGGATGTGTAACGTAGAAATTCCTAACGCGTTCACCACCACATCATGCTGGTTCTTCGTTTCGCCAGCTAGTTTGCAGCACATCATAGAGGTTCTCAACATGCTGTTACAGCCTCGACAATTCTTCTTCCTGCTTTTTACATACTAATTCTCTTCAAATGTACACCAGGACATCGCGACGCTATAAGAAGAGTTAGTTCTCGTCAAAGGTACGATTAGCAATTTTACAAAATTTGAAAGGAAAGAATATCTTGGAGTTGATAACATAGAACAATTAATCCCACTGCATGATGAAAACATTTGGAGTCGTTTGCCTTCGCCGACTAAGAAGTAAGCAACGGTCGTCATGTCAAGAAGTCTAGTTTAGCCCGACGGATGCTTTAACTGTGTAAGCTTATGGTTCAAGGAATGAGTTATTCGGTGTGAATATTCGATTTTGAGCAGAAAGTCTAGAGTACCGTAGCTTTAATAGTCTTCATCGATCAAAGCAGTAACAATTGTTGTACAGCAAGTACTCTTTTAAAGACATGTTAAAAGCTTGAATAGTCTCATACATTTAGAAAAGCTTACGTCATTGGACTCGATAACATGATCGAAGGACTTTTTGAATACTCTCTGATTGAGCATTCTGTTCTCGCGGGAAAGATGTTTAGATTTGGAAAATTTAATACTCTTTAGTTAATATGTCTAATGGGCACGTGTAGAGCAGTGGCCAGAGGCGCCCTGCAATACATATAGGATAGATCCACGCGCCCAAGGCTCACCAAGCCTTCCATCCCTCCGGAATCGGCAAGTCGGTGCCAGACTTGTCTTGGAGGATAGCAGCACTGACTCGATCGATGCTTAACGAAGTCTAATGCACTGCTCATCCCTCAGGAATTGAGGTCGTGAAATAGAATAAGGCTGACGTCATTGGTCATGGTGGGTTTTGTCGATTGCTTGACAAAACTTTCCTGCCATAAACACCTCATCAGCACTGAAGTTACAGTGGGTAGTTCAAACCGAGTACGGAAAATTCTTCAGACCTTTCTTTTGATGTAAAACTCTGTCTTTCAAAGCAGTTTCAGCGGTTTTATGCCCATTTTTTGACTCATACAAAACAACATGAATGTGCTTTTATCCTTTTTCGTTTCATTAGCTTACCTTCGATAGGCACACCAAAAGGCAAACGTTTACAGGGAAAT